TTGTTCTTAGACTTTGCGTCACACCAGTTTTTAAAAATTCTCCTAATGCTCCAGTTTTCATGTTTGATGACGGGGGGCTCCAAAAGCTTGCCATAGTCGTTGCGCCACTTCTCCTTCTATGAAGACATGTTGCATTGAGTCTTCCTTAGGATTTTTACAACACTTGTATCTGGAAACAACATGGTTACCAAATTAAGAAATACTTTGTCAAAAGGAAGGTTACCAAGATATAGTCTCCAAGCCAAGAAGGAGATTTTGAAGGGAATACAATTGAGCCACATGTGGTGAAGAGCTGGATTCTTCGATTTTCTACTCCTAATTGTATGCAGGCGCTTTTGTTGGAAGATTGGCCATCTGCAGTGGCTTCCCATAATGCATAGTCTTCTTGACTCCGATCTCCAATTTCTATAGCACTGATGTATAAAGCGAACTGGGCGTTAAGAGTGTTGATAAGTTTGTTCATATTCCAACTGCCCTCTTGAATGAATTCCTTAATAGTAGTATCTTTACTCTTTCTGCTATTTGGAAAAAAATTGGCTTATGCCCCTTTTCCTGACCAGTTATCCCACTAGAAGCTGCTATTGCCCTTGTTAATACTCCAAATCATGTTTTCTTCCACTTTGTCTCTAATTTGGGTCATATGTTTCCAAGCATGTGAGTTACCTGATGCCTACTTTTTTGCCACAGGGTGAGATCTGATGCAATATTTAGCTCTAAGGTGGGTTGCCCATAGAGTGTTCTGAGTTCTAAATCTCCACCACCTCTTCATCGCTAAAGTATTACTAATATCCTCCATAGATCTTACACTGATGCCACCTTTTTCTTTAGGTAGGCACAGTTTCCTCCAAGCACTCCAATGATACTTCTTTTTATCCACTGAAGTACCCCATAAGAATCTAGCCAAATACTTTTCAATCAAATGTAGGGTGCCCTTTGGAGGACTCATAGCGGACAGAGTGTAAATAGGTAGAGATTGGAGGACACTTTAATAAGGACAATTCTACCGCCACAAGTAAGAAGTCTGCCAGGCCGCCCATTCAATCGCTTATTCACTTTGGTCACCATCGTATCAAAATGAGAGAGTTTTTTCCCGCCCAAATATAAGGAGCAGCCTAGATAGTTAAAGGGAAAACTTTTTTCCATGAAGCCCATAGCTGTTCTCATCCTGTTGATTCTTTGTGCTCTAGCTTTCGGATCTGTGAGAAAGAAACTTTTGTCGCCATAAACATTTTGCCCTGAGGCTCTCTCGTAATTGCTTAATTGTTGCATAATCAATCTGACTGATTTGTTATTGCCAACACTGAAGATCACAATATCATCCGCATAAGCCAAATGGTTGATTGGAGGTCATCTTCGATTCATGTGAAAGGGAGTGAAATCTGGATCATAATGAAGCTTATTCAAGGATCTGGACAATACTTCTGCAGCTATGATAAACAAAGAAGGTGACAGAGGGTCGCCTTGCATCAGCCCTTGTGATGATGTAATAAAGAACCCCCTTTCGATCCATTAATAACAACAGAATACCAGGCTTCTGATACCAACCTCAAGATGATATCAATCCAAGATTCCACAAATCCAAACCTTCTCATAACTGAAGCTAAAAAGACCCAAGATAATCTGTCGTATGCTTTGGCTATATCTAGCTTGAGTACCACGTTACCACCTGATAGTAGCCTATATTATGCGATGTAGATGCTATTTATGCTCTAAATTAACCACACCTTATTGATGATTTAAGTGCTAAATAATAACAAAATACTCTAATGGAGGATTTTATGCTTTGCAGGAGCTACTCCGAGTTAGGAGGAAGATATAGAGTGTTTTGGGGTAAAAAAATGAAGATACAAGGCCAATAGAGAATAGCCCGGACGAAAACGAGCAAGAAAAGGCGAAGAAAAAATGGACAACAGTCCACCGCGACCGTGGTCGGACAGCGGCTTGAACGCGGTGGAAGAAAGCAGAAAACAGAATGGATATAAATCACCGCGGTCGCGCTGCGGTTGTCCCGCGACCGCGGTCGATCTGGAGAAAGCCAAGAAGTTTAAGGGCTAAAGTGTAAAACGTGGGAAACTTATCCTAACCCTATATAAACTCAACAAACTCGCCCAAGTCAAGGTTAAGCTTGTTTTTAGACTGAATTGGAGGCAAGAACAAGTGTGAGAAGATCAAGACACCATTAGAGTTTTTCATTCTTCTTCTTGTTATCATTATTTTGTGAACTATGAATTATTTTATGTTTTTATCTTCTTTTCCCAAGAGTAGCTAAACATTTAATCTAGGGTTGATGGAACCAATTGTTAGATAAAGTTTTGACTCAATTTTGTTATAATCGAGCCGGGTTTATTATATGATTGTTCAACTATGTTTTGTATGGTGATTAATTGAATGGGCCCTCGATTAATCCTGTCTAATTTCCTTGTGTTGCTTGAGAAAGAATACTAGGTTATATTGTTGTTGAGCAACACCACTTTTGGGTAGTTGAAGAGATTCATTACTTGAATTTAAAAGTGGGGTTAGAGATAACGAAACTTTGGTGGGATAATTCAGAGCTGCATAAATTATCAGCTAGAGTAGTTCGAGAGAATGCTCTAGTAAATTATCGTAGTTGATCGAGAGATGATTGCGGTAACCCATAGCTCATAGTCCTCATAGAGTATTATGGCGAGATTATAGCAAAAGAGTTAAGAATTAAGATAGCAATTGGGGAAATCAATACCCTAGATCTTTTTACCATTGAATTATCTTTAATTTAGAATATTGTTAGTTTTAATATCCTTTTACATTTGTTAAACAATTATCATTGTTTATTGATAAAATTCTTGCATCTGGAAATTGTTTGAACTTGCACTAGCATCACTAAGAGTTGTAATAGATAGGTTAGTTCCCTGAGGATTCGACTCCAGACTTGAAAAACTGGAATATATTTGCAACGGCCGCATTGTCTTTTATAAGGCACAGTTGGGCGTGATCAAATTTTGGTGCCGTTGCCGGGGAATTAACGGTGTTATTTATTGCAACTTAGAAGTAGTGCTAGAATTATTAGTTTAGATCAATTTTCTACGGTGTTAAACAATTTTTCATTGAAATTCTCAATTTTGAACTCTTGTGTGATTCAGGTGTATGCCTAGAATTCTTCGAGGACTGGTGAACTGCTTGAAGGACTCTCAAACCCCGAGAAAACATTCAGGGTATTAAACCGTGCCAACAAGAAGAACAAACAATCACAACAAACACACCAACTCATAACTGAAATGGACAACAACAACAGGGAAAACATCAATGTGCTAAACGACGCAGTGGTGGCACCACTTGTGCCAGAAGCTGCACTTTATGATTGGGCACAACCAACATCTGACAACCTGGCCACCGCCATTGCTGTGCCCCAAATACAAGGGGAGACATTCCAGATCACCAACAACATGCTGAATCTTTTGCAGAATAAGGGATTGTTCTCCGGGTCACAGATTGAAGACCCTCAACAACACCTGAAAAATTTTCTGTCAATTTGTGTGACCCAAAGGCAGCCAAATGTGACCCCAGAAGCCATCAAGCTGTTACTGTTCCCATTCTCGGTGACTGGGGAAGCTCAGACTTGGCTAAATTCGCTCCCAATAAATTCCATTGCCACTTGGGAGGAATTAGTCAAGCAGTTCCTGAACAAGTTTTACCCACCCAACAAGACTGCAAGACAGATTGATGAGATATTGCAGTTCAAGCAGCAACCCACTGAGACCTTGCAGGAAACTTGGGAAAGATTCAAAGGGATGCTAGTGAAGTGTCCCCACCATGGTATTCCTTACCAGATGCTCGGGCAGAGATTCTACATGGGATTAGAAGACAATTTAAAAGCAAATGTAGATGCTTCAGCTGGGGGTGAATTCCTGAGCAAGACATTCACAAAGTGTAAAATCCTTCTTGACAAGATGGCCCAGAATTCGGGATGGATGACGAGAGGTACGACCCTGTCACCAATAGTGCATTCAGTTCCTCTTGACCCAAATAATTCACATGCAGAGAATATAGCCACACTCATGACTCAGATGAGTATACTATCAAAGAAGATTGATGAGATGGGTACAAAGCAAGTGCATATAGTTGACACAACAAATGTAGGACTGTGTACACCTTGCATTAATCAGTCTTATGTGTGTTCATGGAGTGGAGAAGGTGACAACCAAGGGTTAAGAGAGGATATGAATTATGTCAACAACTTTGGGGGTCAGAGGCAAGGAGGACAACAATGGGCACCAGCACCCAACCTGCAGTACAGACCGAACATGCCACAGCCAGGAGGTATGCGGCCCCAAGGCCAAATGGTGCCATATTAGAGACAACAGGGCTATCAACAGCAGCCTCAGCAACAGTTGACATATCAGCCACCTCATCAGCAACAGGACAGCAATATGGTAGAAATCAGGGGTATGCTGTAACAACTCATTGGAACAAATGGTAAGATGCAGGAAAAGTTGGCAGCGCATGACTCAGCAATTAAGGGTATTGAAACTCAACAGGGGCAGCTGTCCATGGCTTTTAATAACCGCACCCGTGGAACATTGCCAGCCGACACAAACATCAACCCCAAAGAGCAAAACCCGAATCAGCTGATGGCAGTAAGCCTGTGGAATGGGAGAGATTTAGACAAGGAGCAAGAAGTTGCTCAATCCAGAAGAGAGACTACACTAGCCACTCCAGTTCCAGTGGAGATAGATGAATCATCATAACTCACTGAAGTGGTGGTTGAACAGGCTCAGGTTGATAAGGGGAAGGCTAAAGAAAGTGAACAAGTTGCAGAATAGGTGGTACCTCTTGTGCCACAAAATTCCAACAAAGAACAGCCAACAAGCGGTGAACAAAGAGTGATGACTGCACCATTCCCTCAGAGACTGGCAAAACAAAAGAAAAAAGACCAATACAGGAAATTCATGGAGATGCTTCGTCAGATTGAATTGAATATCCCTCTGATGGATGCTTTGAGGGAAATGCCAGGCTATGCAAAGATGATGAAAGATCTGGTGTCACGGGAATTTGACTTTCAGGACCTGTCCACATTAACTCTGACACAGACATGCAGCGCAGTAGTGACACGACCCATGGCTCAAAAGACGTCCGATCCAGGTAGCTTCACTATTCCGTGTACTATTGGGAGTTATGCTTTTGCAAAAGCATTGTATGACTTAGGAGCCAGCATAAACTTGATGCCTTTGGCGATATATACAAAACTGGACATTGGCAGAGCTAGACCGACTTCGATGCTATTGCAACTGGCTGACCGCACGGTTAAAAGACCGACGAGGATTCTTGATGATGTGCTGGTACAAGTAGGAAAGTTTGTATTCCCTGCAGACTTTGTTATTCTAGATTGCCAGGTAGATGAGGAGATACCCATCATGCTGTTGAGGCCATTCTTAGCCACTGGGAGAGCATTAATTGATTGTGAAACTAGGGAATTGAAAATGAGGTAGAACGATGAAGAGGTGATATTCAACGTTCAACAATACATGAGGAGACCCAGTGAATATGGAAATTGCTCACTAGTGGAAGCTGTGGATGTGATCATGTATGAAGACGATGAGACACTGAACACCAAAGATCCATTGGGAGCTTGCTTGACAAATTTAGAGGAGATGGATGGTGAAGGATTGGCAGAGTGGGTCATGGAACTTGAAGGCCAGGGATTCTGGAAGAGGGAGCCTGTGTTCGATCCCCTTGAGTTAGAAAAGAGGGCTACACCACCTGCAAAACCATCAATAGAGGAACCACCACAGCTGGAGCTGAAACCGCTTCCAGCCCACCTCAGGTGTGTTTTCTTGGGTTCCAATTCTACGTTGCCTGTTATTATATCATCTGGTTTGTTAGTTGTGCAGGTAGAACAATTATTGCAGGTGTTGCAGGAATGCAAAACTGCCATTGGTTGGACCATGGCAGACACAAAGGGTATCAGCCCGACCTTCTGCATGCACAATATTCGTTTGGAAGAAGGGCACAAACCTTCCAGGGAACATCAGCGAAGGCTGAAACCGAATATGAAGGAGGTAGTGAAAAAGGAGGTAATCAAGTGGCTGGACGCGGGCATCATCTTTCCCATCTCTGACAGTAATTTGGTTAGCCCCGTCCAGTGTGTACCGAAAAAGGGTGGAATGACAGTTGTGCAAAATGAGAAGAACGAGTTGATCTCAACTCGTATAGTCACAGGGTGACGGATTTGCATGGATTACAGGAAATTAAACGCAGCCACTCGGAAGGACCATTTCTCCTTACCCTTCATTGACCAGATGTTGGACAGGTTAGCTGGGCGGTCCCATTTTTGTTTCTTGGACGGATACTCGGGGGTACAATCAGATCTCAATAGCCCCGGAAGATAGAGAGAAAACGTCCTTCACATGTCCGTATGGCATCTTTGCCTTTTGGAGGATGCCCTTTGGACTCTGCAATGCACCGGCCACATTCCAGCGGTGTATGTTAGCCATTTTCACCGACATGGTCGAAGACATTATGGAGGTGTTTATGGATGATTTCTTCGTAGTAGGGGATTCATTGGAAGATTGTCTTCACAACCTTAAAAGAGTGCTCAAACGCTGTGTGGCGACAAACTTGGTGCTGAACTGGGAGAAGTGCCATTTTATGGTACAAGAAGGAATATTGTTGGGGCATAGAGTGTCAAAAAAGGGAATTGAAGTAGACCATGCAAAAGTTGAGGTGATTGAGAAGCTCCCAGCACCCACTTCAGTGAAAGCAGTGACAAGCTTCCTTGGGCACGCTGGGTTCTACAGGCGGTTCATCAAGGATTTTTCAAAAATTGCTAACCCCTTATGTAAGCTGCTTGAAAAAGACCAGCACTTTGTGTTTTCTGATGATTGCAGGCTAGCATTTGAGGAGCTGAAGAACAGATTGGTGACCGCACCCATCATTGTTGCACCTGACTGGGAGCAACCATTCGAGCTGATGTGCGACGCCAGTGATTATGCTATAGGAGCAGTTTTGGGGCAGCGCAAGGAGAAAATTATGCACCCAATTTACTATGCAAGCAGGACACTTAGTGGTGCACAACTAAACTACACGGTCACAGAAAAGGAAATGCTCGCTGTAGTGTTTGCCTTCGACAAATTCAGGTCATATCTTATTGGTTCGAAAGTTATTGTTTATACTGATCATGCAGCCATTAGGTACTTGATAGCAAAGAAGGAGTCAAAGCCCCGCTTGATTCACTGGGTTCTGTTGCTACAAGAATTTGACCTGGAGATTCGTGATCGAAAGGGGACAGACAATCAAGTAGCAGACCACCTATCGAGGTTGGAAGGGGCACAGAAGAGAACGGAGGTTGAAGATATCATTGAGACATTCTCGGATAAGCAATTGCTTGCGATGACAATGGAGGAGGCACCATGGTATGCTGATATTGCTAATTACTTAGCATGTGGTATTGTACCTCATGACCTCTCCTCAATTCAAAAGAAGAAATTTTTCCGTGATTGTCGTGCGTATTATTGTGATGAACCCCTATTGTTTAAAATATGTGTTGGTAACATGATCCGGTGGTGTATCCCCGAGCAAGATCAACCCTCTATTTTGCAGGCTTGCCATGCTTCGCCTTATGGTGGACATTTTGGAGGAATTCGGACAGCAGCAAAGGTGTTGGAATCAGGCCTGTATTAGCCTACATTGTTCAAGGATGTCCATGCTTGGGTCAAAAGCTGTGATGAATGTCAAAGGATGGGAAACATATCCCGTCGTCATGAGAAGCCAATGACCACAATCCAAGAGGTGGAAGTGTTTGACATGTGGGAGATCGACTTCATGGGGCCCTTTGTCAGCTCATACGGTAACAAGTATATACTGGTTGCCGTTGACTATGTCTCCAAGTGGGTCGAAGCAGTTGCTCTCCTGACCAATGATGCGAAAGGGGTGATCAGTTTCCTCAAGAAAAACATTTTCACACGTTTTGGCACCCCCCGAGCCATAATGAGTGATGGTGGCTCTCATTTTTGCAATAGAGCGTTTGCATGCCTGTTGGAGAAGTATGGAGTTCACCACAAGGTAGCCTCACCATACCACCCACAAACAAGCGGGGAGGTGGAAGTGTACAATAGGGAAATCAAAAGTGTCCTCTCAAAAACAGTGAATGCAACAAGAACTGATTGGGCAAGAAAGCTGGATGATGCATTGTGGGCATACCGCACAGCCTTCAAAACTCCAGTTGGTATGTCACCATACAAGTTGGTATTTGGAAAGGCATGCCACCTTCCGGTTGAGCTAGAACACAAAGCACTGTGGACGTTGCGGCAGCTGAACTTAGACATGGAGACAGCAGGCACCAACAGCGTTAATGGATTGCATGAGCTTGAGGAATTCCGGTTCCAGGCATTCGAGAGTGCTAGACTATATAAAGAAAGGATGAAACTGATGCATGACAAGCACATCTTGGATCGGAACTTCAAACCTGGAGAATTAGTGCTGCTATATAACTCAAGATTGAGGTTGTTCCTGGGTAAGTTAAAGTCCCAATGGTCAGGACCGTTCAGAGTGGTGCAAATATTCCCAAGTGAAGCTGTGGAGATCGAATCTGAAGATGGGATGAACAAATTCACAGTGAATGGATAGAGGTTGAAACATTACCTTGGAATGACTGAAGAAAAAGGGGACAACGTGGTGATAACGTTGGAAGATCCCCAGTACACAAATGAGGAGTGATGATATGAGCATGCGTCGTGCCGCGACGTTAAATCAGGCGTTGTGTGGGAGGAAACCCATGTTTTCTTTTGTTTCTTTTGCTTTTGTTTTGATGTTTTACTTGATGTGTATGTAACTAATCTGCTTATTATTATCAAACTAAAAAAATTGCGGAAGCCTGGGTCACCGCGACCGTGGTGAGACCGCGGCCTGGACCGTGGCAAAATTGAAGTATTCTATCTCTGGGGCACCTCCTTTCACCGCGACCGCGGTGAAACGTGAGTATTCTGTTTTGGAGTCCTCTGTTCACCGCGACCGCGGTGAAACGCGCTCAGCTGCCGCCCAGGTAAGTTCTAGATAATTTTTTTTAATTTTCTTTTCTCTCTCTCCTCTAAATAAACTAACCCCCCCCCCCCCCC